AATAGGCAAATCCACAGAGATAGAAAGTAGATCAGTGGCTGCCAGGAACTAAGGCAAGAGGAGAAAGGGGAGGAATTGCTAATGGGTTTCATCTGGGGTGATGGAAATGTTCTGAAACTAGACAGTGGTGACGGTTGCACCACCTTGTGGCTATATGAAAAACCAATGACTTATATATTTAAAATGATTAATCTTATGGCATGTGAAATATAACTTAAAAATACATATATAGGGAAATAAGCATATCATATATTGCTGGTAAGAATGTAGATTGATACAATCTACTGAAGTATAATTTTGCAATATTTATCCAAATTACAAATGCCTCTACACTTAAACCCAGAAAATTCCTCTTTTAAGAATTTACCCTACATATATATTCAAACATGTGCAAAATGACATAGGTACAAGGTATTGACTTCAGCATTCTCTGATATATCAAAAGGCTGGAAACAACCTGCATGTCCATCATTATGTGACTAGTTAAATAAATTATGATATATCCATCTACCAAAATATTATATAGCCATAAAAACTAATGAGGATGCTCTTTATATAACAATATGAAATTATTTCAAATGTTAAGTTAAAAAAAATGAGGTACAAAACATTGTGAAGAGTATGCTATCATTCTGATCATTTTGGAATTTGTAGAAATAGGGAATCACTATGCTGTATACTAGGAACTAACATAGTGTTATAGGTCAGTTATACTCCAACAAACAAACATACACAGAAATAGAGATCAGACTCGTGGTTAGCAGAGGTGGGGGGGAGGATAGATTGGATGAAGGTAGTCAAAAGGTACAAACTTCCAGTTATAAGATAAATAAATACTAAGGAAGTAATGTACAACATGATAAATACAATTAACACGGCTGCATGTTATATATGAGAGTTGTTAAAAGAGTGAACCCTAAGTGTTCTCATCACAGGAAAAATTTTTTTCTTTTCTTTTTTATGAGATGATGGATGTTCACTAAACTTACCGTGGTAATCATTTCATGGTGCACGTTCATCAAGTCATTATGCTGTACACCTTAAACTTACACAGTGCTGTATGTCAATTACATTTCATTGAAATTGAAAAAAAAAAGAACCCCCCCAAAAAAGAGTATGCTACCATTCAAATCAAAGGAGAGGGAGGAATATCTACATATATATTTGCTTGTATATGCATAAAATACTTTTGGAAGGATATATACAATTTACATAGTGTTGTTTGCCTCCAAAGATAGGTAACTGTATGCCTAAGGAACAGAATGTGTGTGTGTGTGTGTGTGTGTGTGTGTGTGTGTGTGCGCGCGCGCGCGCGTACACCTGTGTATAGGGAGAGATTTTGAAACTTTTGAGTTTTTAAACCATGTGAATGGATTTCCTATTCAAAATGTAAATAAAATATAGATTTTATAAAATATTTTTAAAATAATGAATGAGTCATAATGCTGTGGGAAGAAAACTAACTTAAGTATATTGAGGCCTGAATTTTAGTTCCTGGATTACCAGTAACTACTTAGTTCATCTGCTGATCAATCTCCCTCTCCCCTCCATCTAAACTCTATGAATTCTTCACCAAAGTATGCAAGTTTTAAAAGGTTCAACTGTGAGGATTCGGAACAATTAAACGTCTCAATATAAAAGGTTTAATTCACGTTCCTTTTTAAACAAGTGCCTAGCCGCGCAGCAAGCAGCTCCCGCAACTTGTAAGGCAGTGTTGGGCAAGATTAATCTCTCTTTCTACCAGTAGATGGAGACAGTGGGTAGATAATGTGCTTTTGCCAAGTTAGAAACTTGCTCTAGTGGACACAGGAGCCATAGAGTCAAAAAAATGTACAGCTAGAAAGAGCCTTAGAGTTCAGCCCAACTCCCGTAATTTACAGACATGGAAAATGATGTCCTTCAAGGTCAGAGTCTGAAGGCTGACATGGCAAAGACTGAAATCCACATCTCACAACTCTTAACTGGTCCTCTTCACTAAATACTCTTATAAGCTAAAAACCTAAAATTCAGCATTTATTGGGAATACAAAATTCAATCAGTCAAAACTTGTTTATCACTTTGCACTTTTCTAATCTAAAGTTAGATGATTAAGGAAGGTGACACCTCTATTAAAGCATGATTGTTAGGTTCGCAGATATGACTATTAAGCAGTTCTTTCAAGTACCTAATTTTGAAATAGTCAACAAATTTCCTCATTTTATTGTCTAAAATTATGCACAACACATGACTCATTTTGAAATGAAACCTCTCTCCCCATTTTCACTTTACATTTAACATAAGGAATTCCTAACTTGAAATCTAATGGGTTAATTTTTTTCATCGAGATGTTTAGGAATGACCTATATGTCAAAAAATAAGAGAGATTAGTTAGTAAATATGAAGCAGCTCTTGCGATGATGTTTTTAATAATTCTGAGTAGGCGATGTAGTGTAGTGGTTATAGAACTACTGCCTGGTTCAAATCCTGATTCACAACTTACCAGCCCTGTGACCCTGGGCAACTTTCTTAACCCCTTCCTCAGTTTCTTTGTTATCAGATAGGGATGATAATAGTAGTACCTACTTCATCGGGGTGCTGTAAGAGTTAAATTAACTAATACATGTAAAATGCTTAGAATGGTACCAGAATATAGTATCTGAGGCTAGTGAGGCTCCTTCGCTCTCCCAGAAATACTGACTCTTTTAAAAGAGGATGGTTGCTAACCAAAGGTAATTTCTAATTGAGTCTCTTGAACTCAAACAGAACAGGGGAGAAAAGCCAAGCAAAATGTTTGGGGAGGCTAGCTTGCTACACTGATTGGCCTCTAAACACTTTTGGATAAGCAGCCTCTACCTTCACTTCTTAACCTCAGGGTACTCTAAATACTCATTTTTTTGTTTTGTTTTGTTTCTTCCCAGGATGGAATGTTGGTGACTGATCAGGGAGGATGTTCAGAGGCAAAAGCAGTCTGAACAAGTTTTTTAAGTGTGGTATTTGTTTTCCTTTTCAAGACTGTTGGAAGGGAGGAAGTTGGAGAAATGAATGGCCCTCCCATTCTTCTGCAATTTGAGTTCAGTTCTCTTACTTCAGATCAAATGCAGAACCATTTGGGCAGACCCTGTCTTCCCTCCTTTCCCTTCTTTATTCAGACGCTCTTGTACTCCTACAAAGTGTCCAGTGTGACATTTGCATCAGAGCAGAGATTCCTGATTCCACGTAGCAGCCAGTTAGAATTGCGGAAAGTACTTAGGGCTGATGGTGAAGGGAACCATCCTTTACCTCCACTGCAAACCTTGACTTACTTTTCACTCCGTAGTAAAACTCTATCATTTCTGTTTCTAAAAGTCTTCAGACCACTGTGCTAATCTTTATTGCAAGTGAACCCTCCCTTCCCTTGATCTCAGGACAACATGAGGCTAGGGTTGATCTGAAAGGCTACATGAACACAGATTTGGGAGGGCAAGGTTCAGGCACATCCCTGTGACTTTCACAGTAAGGGCCCAAAGTATGGCTGTTGAACAAACAGTGCATACAAACTACCTGTTTATTGTATATTTAACATGGTCATAATCACAAAATGTCAATCTTATTCAGATTAAGAAAAAAGAAGAGTCCAATTTTAGAGGCCTGAGATGACTAGTGGATGCAGGAAAGGCACAAAACCCAGTTTTACCACTTTCTAGCTGTGTGATACTGCCAACTAAAAACTGGCACTTGTCATCTGACTCTACAAGGACTAAGTCACTGGCCACTACAGCCGCTGACCTTCAACCCCCCCCTCCGAGAGGAGTTCAGGGTGGAGATCAGGAGCAAGGCACTCTGTGCTCTAGGAAAAACTGGCAGGACGGGCCTTCAGATAGTTAGATATTTTCAGGAGAAGGTTTTATCAGCCCAATTCTTGCACCTCCTCATATCTAGAAAAGCACTAAAATCATTAACAGTGACATCTGCTCCTCGTGACTCGCAGCAGGCCTCCGCGAAAACGTGTACTTGACCGTACGCACCCCCTTCACTAAAGTCATATGTAACACTGACCTTTCCCCCCACCTCTTTGGAGCAGTTTCTCAGAGCTATCTGAAATGCTGTCTCCCAGGCTATAGCCCTCACCTTGCTCCAAATAAAATTTCATTCACAACTCTTACACTGTGCACTTTTTTCAATTAATAATTCTTAACATGTCATTGAACCTCTACAGGTTTACTGCCTAATGTGTAAAAGGGGATTAAAAATAACAGCTAGCTCACAGGCTGTTTCAAGAATTAACTTTAAAAACAGTAAAGCACTATGCAAATGTTCTTGATATTCTTCGTTATCTAATGTATGCGTGCTCTCTACAAATATACTTTACTCTGTTAACTACAGAGAAGTTTTAAAAGAGATAATGAAGATGCTCAGAGGAGTTCAATACAGGTTACATCTGAACGGAAAGTCAGCAGCCCAAGAAAAATCAACTTGGTTTTCACTGCAGGGCTGCTGAGAACTTGGAAAAATAAATCTTTGGTCGGGCAGTCCTAACCTATGACCGCTGGGTTTACAGAAACCAAAAGCGCACCCACTGCGAGCTCTCCTTCGTTTTAACGCTCCTCCCCACCCAGCTTTCCTGGCTCCCCATCTCTCTCTGCTTCACTCCTGGATGCCCCGCCTGCTCGCTCTCCATCCTCCCACTTCAAGACCGCTCGGCAAAGTCCATTCGGACCTTCAGCCTACTGAGTCGCAGTGCCCCGCATCTGGCATTGCCCAGAAACCCCTTCACCCCGACCTTTTGAAAACGTAAGACAGAAACACCACCCGGCGAGGTGGGGCGCCGGGGGAAGAGCGGCGCCCTGGAGCCGGGCATGCGCAGAGGCCGCCGCGGGCTGCGGGCCTGAGCGAAGCAAGTACAGCGCTGCTAGGGCCAGAAGCCGTCTCTTTGGGACCCGGTTCGGGGAACCGATCCCGACTGGTCAGCACCCGCCCAGGGCTCGGGGCCCATTTCTAAGAGGCTCGCGGGCCGGCCGCGGGCCGCCGGGGGCGCTGCGTACCTGGTAGCGGCCGGTGAGCAGCTGGCTCCGCGACGGCGTGCACAGCGGCTGCGTGTAGTAGTTGTCTAGCAGCACCCCGGCGGCCGCCAGCGCGTCCAGGTGTGGTGTGCGGATTTCCGAGCCGTGGAAGCCCACGTCGTTCCAGCCCAGGTCGTCCGCCAGCACGAAGACGAGGTGGGGCGGCCGGCCAGCCCCGGCGCCTGAGGCCGGCGGCGGCGGCAGCAGCAGCAGCAGCAGCGGAAGGACGGCGGGAAGGAGCGGCCTCCGCGGCCCGGGGCCTCGGGGCAGGCTCGCCGCGCTGCGCGGGCCCATCCTGCGCCGCCCGCGGTGCCCGCGCCTGTGGCGCCCCCGGGCCCCGGGCACTGCTTATAGAATCAGGAACTGGGCGGCCGGGGCCTGCCCCGCCCCAGCACGGGATTTCACCCCTAGCAGGCCGCAGGCAGGAGAGGCCCGGCGCCAGAGCCTCCGCCGCCTCTGACCCGGGCCGGGGCCGGTGTGGTGGGGGAGGAGCCAGAGAAGAACTCGGGCAGCCCTTGCTGCCGTGCTCCGTTGATGCTTGATAGGAGCTAAGATCTCTTATCTTTCCACCGAAGAGCTTTGCCTCGTGGCATCGTAAAAGAGGAGCAGATTTGTTCTTTGTACTAACTCTTCACAGCTTACAAAGCATATTTCACAGCCCTCATCTCTTTAAACCTCGGAGCAACCCTGGCAGCTAGGAATCACAATTATTGCCTTTTTTCTTTTTTTTCCAGAATAAACAAGCTTGTGTAGTTGGTGGAGCCTAACCCAAACCCAGTTCCGACTCCAGATCTTGAGCTACGAGGTTTTAAAGGTCGTGAAAGAATCATTTCTAGCAGAATTATTTCTAGCAAAAGAACCCAGCCTCGTGCAGGTGCGGGGACGATGAAGAGGCAAAGGTCTGGGTGATGTTTCCGATTCATTTAAGAATAGCGTACGCCTGTGAAGCCATTTCCTCCTCACTAGCAAAAAGGGGTCAAATACACACTCCGACTGCACGGTGCCCTTTTGAAGGTGCAGTTTTACTTAGGTTGCCCTGGCTCTTGATTGGCGTGCTGTGTGGCCATTGAGTAGCTTATTAGTTTGTCCGGTTCATGAGCCCTTTAAGAGCTGGCTCCCCCAGAATCAAATAGTGAACCAAAGAAGTATAGTATCTAATTTGCCTGAAATAACCTGTGGATGGAAGGAAAAATTCCCTTAGCCACATGCTCATTGAATTGAAGTTAGCCTTATGACCAGTATATTCCCATTGTCATCAAGACTCTGCCTACTCTGTGTCTGGAGATACACAATAACTGTTAACAGTAGTAGGGGAAGAAGTTTTGCACAGCATCCTTTCAAGTTATCTGCATCTGATTCCATGGGAATCGTTTTACAACTTTATAGACTGTAGATAACCGGTAGCGATGGAAACTAATTCTTGTTTATACAGATGCAAATGAATTCTATCCAGTGGAATGGCATCCTCACCACCTCCGGAAAAAAGTTTTGCCTCCACTTACACATTTACTTAATATTCCTGATCTGGTCCTTGGATTGTCCTTTGAACTGGTGTTAACACCTTACCCATTTTCTCATTAATGTTAAATAAAATCTTTAACATGTATTCATTTTTATATATGTATTAGGGTCACGATTTAATCTTTTTTTGAAAATTATTCTTTAATATGTGGAATGTTTCCCTCTTACATACATAGAATTTTTTTTTTTCTTTGTATGAAGTAGATTAGTTTATGTTACATCCACTTTTCACCACTGGTGGAATCAATGAAATTTAACAGGAAAAAAATTTTTAATTTAGCATTAAAGTAAAAAGAAAAATTTTGAAGCGCTGTTTGACTCTCATTAGGTTAAGTCTTGAAAATTCCATTTAAAGACCCTGTAGGAGATCTTATAGGGCTGAGAATTTTCCACGGTGGCACTTGTACGCCCCTCTCTCCGTAACTGTTCCTCTCTAGGCTTCCTGATAGAAATCAAACTGCTGGAACAATGGCTGCTAATCTGCAGGAACAATTCCTCCTTTGACCAACTGCTCCAGAAACTACTAAACTTTCACTGAGCCTTCCCATGTCCTGAATTTTCAAATAAAAGCTTATGCAAATAGTGCTCTGGAAATGTGCACATCAGCTAATTAATAAGCTAATTAATTCTATTTTTTATCTATGTATTGAACACCCATGATGTGCGTACTGGCTAGTTATTGTAAAATCTCTGAAATGGAGTTAGTCTGTTGTTTCCTTATGGGCTTGAGCAGAAATACTGCAAAAACGATGTTGTCTTCTCAATGCTTCATATTAAGAGGCACATGTTGATTTGCTTTAGTATTTGATAACTTTGTTAAGGCCACCATTTCTCCCTGTAAAGTTACTATTTTCCCCTTGTAATTAATCATTATTTTATGGGGAGATACTCTGAGAATATGTATGTATTCTGTTATTCCTAAAACTTTTGCTTATTGGTTTTAGCACTTGCTAAAACTAATGCTTCTTGCTTCAATCAATATTAGGATGATTGCCAAATGGTGATTTTCTAATTCTATCATTCTTTCTATAATTTATCAGTTGTCTTTCTACTGTAAGGAAGAACTTTGCATTCTTCCCCATTTGTTTATTTATTTGTATCACTCTGAACTCATAGATTATTATTTTAATCAGTATGCTATAATACTTTATTTCAGTGCTCAACTTTTCTCTGATTTGGCCAGTGGGAGCCCCTTCAGTCTGGCTCTTGTATCCTTTTGGCATGTCCTCTTTAATCTTTGAGTACTCCCTCACTTCTTTTTTTTTTTTTTTTTTTTTTTGCGGTACGCGGGCCTCTCACTGTTGTGGCCTCTCCCGCTGTGGAGCACAGGCTCCGGACGCGCGGGCTCAGCGGCCATGGCTCATGGGCCCAGCCGCTCCGCGGCATGTGGAATCTTCCCGGACTGCGGCACGAACCCGTGTCCCGTGCATCGGCAGGCAGACTCTCAACCACTGCACCACCAGGGAAGCCCATCCCCTCACTTTTTGATACAACAAGATATTCTAGATTCATCTTGTACTTTTCCTTCCCTAACCCTGGAATCAGCCATTTCTTGAAGGAACCCCAATTCCTTTTAGTGGAGGATGGCTTCTAGAAACCAAGATCTGTGCTATAGGTGTACTCATTGTTACTGGGCTGTCACTGCTTGTAGGACCTCCCACTAAAGATGGAAACTAGGACTTCCCTGGTGGCTCAGTGGTTAAGAATCTGCCTGCCAATGCAAGGGACATGGGTTCAGGCCCTGGTCTGGGATGATCCCACATGCCGCGGAGCAACTAAGCCCATGCACCACAACTACTGAGCCTGCGTGCCACAACTACTGAAGCCCGCACACCCAGAGCCCATGCTCCGCAACAAGAGAAGCCACTGCAATGAGAAGCCCACGCACCGCAACAAAGAGTAGCCCCCGCTCACCGCAACTAGAGAAAGCTCACACGCAGCACTGAAGACCCAACACAGCCAAAGATAAATAAATATATATATATTAAAAAAAAGATGGAAACTAGATATATGTGTACACATATACATTATTTATATATATAAACACACATATTATATAGATACATATGTATAGATATAAAACGATGAGTTCATAGTGAACACCTCCAATTCTATTTTCCCCTCTTCCATATGTGTATGGGTTGTATCAATTTTCACTATCACCAGCCATTAAAAAATACTATGCTTTTTAATTTTTGCCAATCTGATAAGAGAAATGGTATTTCAGTATAGTTTTTGTTTGTTTTTCTTTTTGTATTTCTCTTATTATGAGTAAGGTTAAACATCTTTTCATATGTTGAAGGGACATTTTTACATCATTTTTCTGAATTGTCCATGTCATTCTCAATTGGGTTTTTGGTCATTTTCCCCTCAGTTTTAAGAGTTCTTTCTATATTCGATATATCACCTCTTTGTGATTTATATCACAAATATTTTCTCCCAGTTTGTCAATTGTCAAATATTTTGTTATAGTGTTTTTTGACATGCCAAAGGTTTTTTTTGTTTGTTTTTTTGGTTTTTTTGCGGTACGCGGGCCTGTCACTGTTGTGGCCTCTCCCGTTGCGGAGCACAGGCTCCGGACGCGCAGGCTCAGCGGCCATGACTCACGAGCCTAGCCGCTCCATGACATGTGGGATCTTCCCGGACCGGGGCATGAACCCGTGTCTCCTGCATCGGCAGGCGGACTCTCAACCACTGCGCCACTAGGGAAGCCCCAAAGTTATTTTTTATGTAAGCAAGTTTATCAATATTTTCTTGTTGTACTGCATATGGATTTGAGTTAGACTTTCCTTACACTAATGTTTAAGTCAAATTCACCCATATTTTTCTTTCTAGTACTTGTATGGTTTCGGTTTTTACATTTAAATCCCTGATCTATTGGCATTTATTTTTGTGTATGATGTGAGATAGGGATCTAATTTTATCTTTTTCCAAATGGTTACTCAGTTATCCCACCTCCACTCATAAAGAAGTCCATCATTGCCCCAGTGATATGAGATGCCACCTTTATCATATGCTTAATTTCCATATATACTTGGGTCTATTTCTGGGCTCTTTATTCTATTCTATTCCACTGGCCTACCTGTTGACTCATGGACTCAGTACCACACCATTTCAGTTACAGAGGCTTTACAGTGTTTTAATGAGTGATAGGGACAGTGACTCCTCAGAGCTTTTAATTTTTAATATTTTCCTAACTATTCCTGCATGTTTTAATATAAACTTTAATATAAACACGTCCAGTTCCACAAAAATGTTTATTGGTATTTTTATTGGAATTGCATTAAATTTATAAACTAAGGGACAACTGAAATCTTTATGATATGAAGTTCCATATCTAAAATGAAAGGGTATCTTTCATTTATTAAGGTCTACTTTTGTGTTTTTTAGAAGTGTTTTAAAGTTTTCCTCATATCAGTTTTATACTTTTTTAAAAAATATATCTTTATTGGAGTATAATTGCTTTACAATGGTGTGTTAGTTTCTGCTTTATAACAAAGTGAACCAGCTACACATATACATATATCCCCATATCTCCTCCCTCTTGCGTCTCCCTCCCACCCTCCCTATCCCACCCCTCTAGGTGGACACAAAGCAACAAGCTGATCTCCCTGTGCTATGCAGCTGCTTCTCACTAGCTATCTATTTTACATTTGGTAGTTTATATATGTTCATGCCACTCTCTCACTTTGTCCCAGCTTACACTTCCCCCTTCCCGTGTCCTCAAGTCCATTCTCTACGTCTGCGTGTTTATTCCTGTCCTGCCCCTAGGTTCTTCAGAACCATTTTTTTAAAATTCCATATATATGTGTTAGCATACGGTATTTATTTTTCTCTGTCTTACTTCACTCTGTATGACAGTCTCTAGGTCCATCCACTTCACTACAAATAACTCAATTTTGTTCCTTTTTATGGCTGAGTAATGTTCCATTGTGTGTGTGTATATATATATATATATATATATATATATACCACATCTTCTTTATCCATTCATCTGTCGATGGACACTTAGGTTGCTTCCATGTCCTGGCTATTGTAAATAGAGCTGCAATGAAAAAAGTGGTACATGACTCTTTTTGAATTATGGTTTTCTTAGGGTATATGTCCAGTAGTGGGATTGCTGGGTCATACGGTAGT